CCAAATACGTGAGTAACACTTGAACATATCATTCCCTCCATGAAATGAAGTAATAATTCTGTGACTATGGGACTAAAGTAATTGATAAAGCTATTAAATTCTGCCACGAAAACAAATTACACTTTCTGTACTATAAAAACATGTAATGGTTTCAGCACTGCCTGTGTGCCAGGCACTGTTCTAAGTGAGATGCATGTATTAACTCATGCAATTTCTCCCAAGAATCCCTTGAAGTAGGCACTTTAAAAAAAAAAAAAATTATCCCATTTGATGGATGAGGAAATTGAGACACACAGGGGCTTAGATAACTTAATGCACCCAGCAAGTGGGATTCAAACCCAAGCACTGTGACTCCACACTCTCAATCACTGTGCTATACAGTTACCTTGTATTACCTGGGTCTCCAGAGGAATACTTACGCACAGTGATGAAGAGCAACCAGCACTGCAAAGACATACAAAGTCGGAGTGGCGGGCTAAGTGCAGTCACTGATCACGTTTCCACGCATCAACCTCACTGGGCCCAAGATTCAAATCTCCACTCAACAAAAAGGCAAATTCCTCCATATGGTTGACCTTCATGATTTATTACAAATAGTTGGGACAGTGACTGTTGAGTCCATGAATGCTAGAGCTCTGCTTTATCTGCTGTTTAGGATTCATCTGCTCCTCCTGCATTCATGGGTTTCTCCGTTTTGGATCTCATATGCTAATTATCTAGTAGTGCTAAGAGAATTCCATGCAGCCTCTCTGCATACCCCTCGCTCATTCCTTCTTAGGTACAACATGGTACTCCGTGGGACGAAATAGATGAATCATGGCGGGTTTGAGGAAAATGAACTTGCCCATAATTTTTTTAATTTCTCCCAGATGATTGAGCTAAGATTCAATTCCTTTTATTGCCTTCAGTATTTCAGCCAAAATAAGACAGACTGCAAAAAAAAAAAAATGCTAGTGATTTTTTTTTCTTCTTTTTGATCTAAATGTTAGATTGTCACTTAAACGCTAGTTAGGAAGACAAACGTTTCAGCTTAATTTTTCTCACTTATGAGCCATTGCTTTTTCCCCTTTTCAACCTAGTTCAGAATTCAGTCATTAACCAGGACCCAGTCATTTCTGCTACTAACTAACTTTTCATTTACTGCATTCATTAATATCTGTTGCATGTACATCACACACATTTAAAGTGCCCACTTCGAGCAGTGCCATTTATTCTCCTAGACATTCATCATTACCTAAAAGAATAAACCTTTAAACCTGTATCAGCAATCAAAGAGCTCAAGTAAATGATGAAGTAAATGAATCCAAATTATAGTGTATTCGGATCAGAATTCACAGACCCCTTTGCCCTTGCCTTATAAATTTATCTTTGGAAGCCACAGCCTGTTTGCAAATAGCATAAGACACAAATTGGCCTACCCCCCTCCCGCTTTCACTCAGGTTTGATCAGGCGAGATGAACACAAAATACCTCTTTACAAGTGCACAGAGATATGCACCTACTATGGTGTTGTCTCTAATACCAAAAAAGAAATGGGAACTGACCTAAAAGTCCTTCAATAGAAGATTGTGTAGATAAAGTATGGTATAGCCATAGATTGAAATGTTCTGCAGCTATCACAAAGGAGATGTGTTTATTCTCATAAAAATATAAAGAGATGCAAGGGAATGATAAAGACCAAATTCAGTGTAATGGTTACTTTTGGTCTAGAGGAAGGGTATGCAGTTAGGAAGGGGAATATAGTCAGACTTCAACTGACTTCATAATGTTTTGTTGAGTTTTGTGGCAGATACAAGGTGTTCTTACATTATTTTTTTGTATCTTTCAATGCATCTGAATTATTTACTGTTTTTAAAAATTCTTTGAGCCACTGACTAGGAAATTCCTACTGAGATAAAATTCAGTCATTGAGAATGCATTTCATTGTGATGTTTAGAAGTTGTTTTATGTGTCAGATGAGGATAATGTGATATGGAATGAGCATAAATGTTGATGGGTGAGATTTCAATCTTAGAAGACCTGATTATTAGGGGAGAGTTACTGGTGTGGACAAGAAAGGCAGACCACGTGGCAAAAACAAAAACAAAACAAAATGGATTACAAAGCATATATCCTGATTGGTTCAGCTGGAAATTGGATCCAATGATCTTAAGAGTGACTTCAGCTCTAGAATTCTACAGTGCTCTAAAACTAGTGCTGGTAGCCATTTTTCACCAACCTTCCAATACCTTCAACCAACAATCTAGATGTCACCCTGATCAGGCTAAGCTTCAGTTATTAAGCAAATATATCTTATGCTGGCTGCCAAGAGGGCTACCAAATGGAATCAGGCATGGACTTTGTCCTCAAGAACACCCAGTAATGTGAGTAAGACAGTCACATAGCCAACTCACCAAAATGCATTCCAGTAAGCTCTGTAGCAAAGGTATGAGCAAAAGTGCTTTCGGAGCACCCAAGAAAGCACTTCTGTGGGACCAGGAGAGAGTCAGGAAAGATTTCACAGAAGACATGATATTTGCTCTGGACCTTGTAAGATGAATAGGGATAATTCAGGCAGAAGCAAAAGCATAACCAAAGGCATAAGACGTGAAGTTGTGTGGCCTATTTCAGTGAACAGTGAGTAGTCTGATGTGACTAGATCATAGGAGAGTGTAGTTCAAGATCATAAAGTCTCTTAAATATCATACATAAGAGTCTGAATTTTGTCCTGTAGGTTTTAGGGAACTATCAGGAGATTTTAAAGAATGATCAGATTTACATTTTGGAAGGATCACTGGAAGATAAATTGAAGAGAGAGATGAAGCCAGGAGAGCAATTAGGAAGCAATGTAGTCCAGACCAAAAAATGATGGGAGCTTGCTCCAGGACAGTGGTAATGAGGATGGAAAGAACACAAAAGGACAGATCCTACATTTCTGTGTCAGAATAAACATGGCATAATGAGAGGCTGAGGAAGGTGCCAAAACCAAACTTTCTAGCTTGAATGTTAGGTGGTTTACTGATAGAATTTAGGAGAGCCAGGCTTTCTAAGAAAGATAGTAAGTTTGGTTTGGAAATGTTTAATCTCAAAGTGTCTATAGGACCATCAGGGAGATGTCCATCGGCAAGGCTTGTGTGCTGTCTCCCCAACACGTATCTCTTCTTTCTACCTCCATTGCTCCCAACCTAGTCGAAGCCACCACCATCTCTCCCCGGACTACTAGAATAGCCCCCTAACCAGTCCCCTCGCTTCCACTCTGGCCCACCTTAGAGTGGATTCTCCATAGAGCAGCCAGAGTAATGTTTTAAAACTTTAAATCAGATCTTATCACACCCCTCCTCACAATCTTTCGTTTCCAGTCAGAATAAATCCAAATGTTTTACCATGACCTACAGGGCCCTACAAGATCTGACCTCTGATTATCATTCTAAACTCCTTTCCCACCATTCTCCCTTTTGCTCATTTGGCTTCAGCCATATTGGCTTTTTCTTTTTCCTGTTCTTTTTGCAAACCAAACATGGAAACCATATTTTCAATCTCAGTGAACAGTTTCAGCGGCTCAGTGAGGGCCTCAGTGGGGGATCTGATTGCCATAAACACTTTCCATGGCCATAGCTCTGGGAGCTGGAATTACTTAAGCCGGCCTCAAGAAGGTTGTCAGCCAAAATCCAGAGGAGAGCAGCTAAATTAACAATCAAAAAACCTGAGGTCGGGGCCAGGAGAGCCCATAAAATGACACTTGACATCATGGCATAGGTTTCTAGTTTCTACCGTGCTTCCTCACCTCTGGTCAAATAGCACTTCAGAATTTTTCTGTAGGGTTTTCATTCCTAAGGACCTAGCTCCCAACTCAGTTGGAAGTTCTGGGGTCATTGAGATCACACTCCCTTTATAGTCTCCAGAATGCCTAATACAGAGCTATAAGCATTTAGTACATGTTCTAAGGACCACCTGAATTGAGATGAAATTTAATGGCATTAAATTCAAAATCCAAAATGGTAAAGATGAGGGAAACTTGGTTTGGCAGGAAGAACTAAAAGTTGGGGTTTGGCCTCCACCTGAGTTGAAAGAGGGACCCTATTCACTCTCTATTATATTCTTCACACCCCCAGTAGAATGCTTTAGATATAGCAGATGCTCAAGAAATATTTGTTAAAAGGATGGATGAAAGGCTAAATACATGAATGCAAACTCAGGCAGTGTTGTGCTAGAAAATAATGCTCCAATGACTAGAAGCAAACCGTGTGTCTTTCCATTCTGTCTTTGTCAGATATCTGGGGTACCATGTCTATCTCTAGGCAATCTAATTAAAGAGAGGCATTGCTAGCTCAAATCCTATGGGAGATAGACCAAAATTGTGAGCATTCTGGAAATAGCTTTAGACATCGGTGGAGTTTGACCAGACGAAGAGAGGGTTTAACAACCGCCATCATGCAGAAGCAGAGATGGGATTGCCTTGCAGAGCTCCTGCAGATAGTGATAAAGGTTGGGAGTTACAGAGAGATAAATTTCAGCTTGGAATAAGAAAGGACTTTCTTCCAATAATTGATGCCCTGTGCCGGAGTGGGCTCACTAAAATGGTTTACTCTTCCCTCCAACGGCAGTTTTTTTTCAGGCAGGTAAAGGTAACCACAGAGCAGGATATCATAGGGGAGATTCCTGAATGGAGAGGAAGATTGAACCAAGAAAGTGTTTTTCAAACTAGATTGCAAATCCATTAGTGGAGCCACGAAATCAATTCAGTGCGTCCTGACTTGTGTGTGTGTGTGTGTGTTTGCAGTGAATTAGAATAGGGTGGAAAATATCAGAGAGCATCACACATCGCAAAGACAAGGGCAGTTTTGAGAAACCGATTGTGGAACCACGCTTACATATGTATGCGTGTACCTACCGGGTCACAGTGTGGCCTGCTCTTCTTCCTGCGAGTGGCAATCGAGCACGTTCAAAAACCACTGTGCCGAGGCCTTTTCCAGTGCTAATATCTGGTAGCTCTAAGAATTCTTCTCTCTGTTGCAGAGGTCCAAAATTGCAGTCTATGAGAAAATGTGGTCTTACATGAAATCAGCAGAGCCATCTGTGTTTACCAAAACGACAGCAGACGGAGTGGCCCGAGTGCGGAAGTCCAAGGGGAAGTTCGCCTTCCTGCTGGAGTCAACCATGAATGAGTACATTGAGCAGAGAAAACCGTGTGATACCATGAAAGTTGGTGGAAATCTGGATTCCAAAGGCTATGGTGTGGCAACCCCTAAAGGCTCAGCATTAAGGTGGGTGGAATAATATAACAATATCCGTGTTGTTATAGTATTCCACCTACCCTGATGCATTTTGTTGTCATTTTCTTTCTTGTGGATTTTGAGGTAACTTTTAAAGTTTAAAACCTACACTATTCCATGGAGTTAAATAAGACGGTAAATTATGGTTTCATCGATTTAATGCATCCATTTTTTTTTTAATGTTCTCTCTCTGTGTTGTCCTCTCTGACTGTTTGTTGCTGTTTTAATTTTACAGTTCAACGGCTTTTTCAATTTAAATGGTAAAAGCCAAGTTATGGTGCCATATGTGACGAATGTTAATTGCATGGATGTGGTGTTCTTGTTACTTTTTTTCTCAAAGACGATTTCCCCATCCCGCACACTTCAGTTTTGAGCAAATGTTATCCTCCATGCCACCTTCCAATATTTAACCCTGTATTTGCTGTACAGACATTTTTATAGCTCCACGTTCTGTGAAATTTAGCCAATTTGTCCTCTTGTGCTCCTTTTTATACGTTAACGATTTCCTAAGCATTTGTGCATTTTCTTACAAGTTATGTTTTATCGTTTCAAGAAATGCTGTTAACCTGGCAGTATTAAAACTGAATGAGCAAGGCCTCTTGGACAAATTGAAAAACAAATGGTGGTACGACAAAGGAGAGTGCGGCAGCGGGGGCGGTGACTCCAAGGTCAGCCTCAATGTCACCACAACCGGGTACCCTTAGTGACGAGTAATCGGCAAGACTGTTATCTTATTATTGAGGAGAGAGCACAAGACTCACACATAAGGTGGAATGACCAGGTTATTCCCCTGCCTGGCAGCTTTGGGAACCAGAAAGACTCCAGGGCACTGCCCGCATTTTTGATCTAACTTGGGTCCCTTCTTAAACTCCCAGACAGAGGCTCCCCCTCCACACCCCTCCCTTCCCCTCACATGCCAGACTGGTTGCCTTATGAAGGCCATAGTGTGGGTTTCATCGGCCTAGGCTTTCAAGAGCCCCAGGCTTGCCTTAAGACTATCCCTGCCTGCCTCACACCAGTGGTGTGAGAAATCAAATCTACCTACTGAAAAGTCAGGTTACAGCCTTTTTTTTCCCCCAAGGCATGACGGTTGCTCACAGAGGGTGGTTGGTTGGTTGGTTGGTTGATTAGAGTTGGCTTCTTCAATTATGTGTATGAGTGATGAGATGGTGTTCTTGATATGTGATGGCCTGTTTAAGCTGGCCCCACTTAACTTGAAAGCCAAAGAACCAGCTCGGTTTCAAGTTAAATGGGGTCTTTCTTCAATAGGCCACCCCATATCCAGATTTGGCAAAGACATTCTGTATATTTAAACAAGTGCGTCGTCTAACTGTGATACTCCATGTGTATAAATCCCTGATTTGGCTTCTCCTTAGCCATGTTCTTGGTTCAGGTAGGTCTAATTGTTATCCAGGCTGCCTTCATGAGAAAATCCATCTTACTTGGCATTCCTTTGGCTCCACAATGCTCTTCAGGGCTAGAAAGAATGAAACGAATAGCATTCATCCAAGCAACAAGAAATAGGGGCAAGCTCAGAAGCCATGATACCAAGTAATGGAAGGACATGTTGGGTAAGTACAAGAGAGGACCTGAAAACAAAATCCTCCATGACCCAAAGGGCATGTGAATTATATTGAAGCATGTAAGATCAACTCTTGTACAACCAAGATACCCATGGGCATCTTAAGGTGAAGAACAGTGTTTCCCACACACAGGCCAACAGACAGGCAAGCCAACCCTTTTCTCCTTCAGAGACAATGGTTACACCTCTGCTCTTCTCTTTCTCTCTCCATTCCTCAGGATCCTGATGGAAAAGTTAGTTGGCCAGTCTGCAGTATATTATGGGTTTGGAAACACTGATACAGAGCACTTTCAAAGAGATAAATTCAAATACAACTTTCTTCAGCCCATAATCTTACCACGCATTGGCGAGGTCTTTTATTGTAAAACCTTGATTAACCAGAACTCATCTAACCAGTACCCCAAATAACTGAATTTCCCCTCCTCAGTATTCCACATTGATGAGAAAGCAGCAATAGTACCAAAAAAGAAGAATTCTGCAGGGAATTGATTTTTTTCTTTTAAATCACTTGCCAAGAGATGACCTATGGTTAGGTCACATTCAGCTTTGTCTCCCATATCTTCTCTCCATCTGGATTGACCCTCAAACATTAGAGGCTGCTTCCCGGAGGCGAGAAAGTGGATACAAGCATTTTTGGGGGGAAAAAAACATGTTGTTAGCCAAGAATGAAACAAAATGAGTACTCTTAGTGAAAATTCTATTCCTCCCTTATGGATTCCAATTAATCAAGGTTTTACTGTGTGTCAGAAAGCAGTAACTTCCTTTCCCACCAGTGTGAACCGATAACATTGACAGCTTAGCCAAGCTTTCGGCTCAGTTGAGTTTGCAGGGGCTAACCTGATGCCTAGAGCATTTAGCACCTTCTTCCTGGTCTTTTTCTCGTGTTCTTAGCAAGCCACGGAGAACCTAATTTTCTCACTCAAGTGAGTTGCAGAATGAAAAGTGAGCTGGATTGGATACACTGCTCTCGTGACTCCATCCTTCACCCTCAGCATGGTTACAGAGGAGCCATGGACTGTGTCAAGATGCCTCTAAAACATCCACATGATGCCAAGTGCCCAGAAGTTTTCAAATAACCAGATGTTTGCTGTTACACAAACCAAAAACAAATCTGCATGTAGTTGGCCGAATTTTTACTTTTCACCCCGAGGTTTTGGTATCCTGAAGACCCCTAAAACTTTAGACCGGCTCTTTGCTAATTACAACCAACAATCAAGCTTTTCTCTTTTTCCTCAGCTGATACTGCTGCAAGGTTATCAAGTAACCTTATTGCCAGCCCACGATTTCCAGATGATCTGATTTTCGATATGCAAGTAGGAAAAACAGTTCAGTAGAGCCTAAATGTTTCCAGCTTCTTTGACACTAGTGCTACCTGCCAGGCATCTTTCAAAATCACTTGTTTCGGTCATCCCTCCAGCCAGCCTTTTGAAATAAGTCAACCCCTTTCTCAGCTATGGATAATAGTATGATGAGTGCCGCATCTCCAACGATTGCTTATTCTGTTTCCGGATTACCAAGGAGTTTGCCTTTGTCCTCTCCCTTCTCGCTACCTGCTGTTTGCTGAGAGTGAGCAAGAGAAGGGGCAAGAGATGAACTTGAATTTGTTTTTACCACTATTTGGTGGTGACGCCAAAAGCAAATCAGTGGAGAAGGTAGAAAAGGCAGCAAAGCCCCGTTAATCTGGAGCCCTCAGATTTACAATTTGTGACAAACCTGACAGGGACCAGTGGACTGTCTACCCGCATAGCATCAAGAAAGGGGCCAGGAGAGGTTTGTTAAGCAAATGAAGAGTTTAGATTGTCAGTTGAATTTCTTCCTTAAGAGAACAAATTTTTTTCGCAAACATTGCAAGCATTCATTAGATAGCATCATATTTATTACAAATCTATCTGCTAAAGTAGTTCTCACAAGGACCTCTACTACGGCAGTGTATTATAGTGAGTTTGAATTACAAAACAGACCTAAAGTAATAAAGCTGTCATTCCTCAAGCCTGTTTGGTAATTCAGGACTTTCTCATTGAGACAGTCTTTCCTCTATGTTAGTCCAAATCAGCGAGGTTTGACTGTATTAGTAAAGTGGCTTGAGAATTACACTTCCGCATTGTATCCCATCCCCAGGTGACCTGACAATTGACTGTTGAATGTACCATCATTTCACTGGGAGTGAGACCCAGAGATGGTGGTGACTTTGAGATGGTCACACAGCTAATGCTGTCACAAATTTCTGCTGACTTTCAGGGTCACCTCTTGTGATAATATTGCAGACAGCAATTGATCACATAGACCCATCCAATGAGCAATGCAAAGCTGATTGCATATGAGATATTTCCACGAAAACCAGGTTCATTCTCAACTACCTTGGTTACAAGGCAATTGGCATATTTAAGCCATTTCAGCCCTCAGTGCTGATTACTAAAAATGACAATAATCACAAAGCCTGACATTTATGAGTGCTTTTACTTTTTCAAAAACACTTCCACACCTATTATCTCTGAAACCAGGAGAGGGAGAAAAACCTACAATACTTATCTCTCTGTTTCTCTCCCGCAACCTTAAAATAATAAGTGGGCAATTATGTTAAATTGTTGACTTTTCCCCCCTGGCATGAGACATCATGAATTTTCAGCCTACTCTCAAAAAGTTACCCTTCTACGGAAGGAACCGACAATTTTTCAGGCTGTTTTAAATGTGCACATGCTTAAACTAATGCAACAGATATTTATTTTCTTTCATTTCCCTGATTTTATCTCATTTTTGGAATGCAAGGAATTAAGACAAGGTCAGCCACTAAGGTGGCCCCTGCACCGAAATCCTGCTCTGTTTTAGCCATTTCCTGAACCTGGGCTAATAGGACACAAACAAATCAGACCTGATCCTTCCTTGATGGACTATAAATGTACAGCCAAGGATCATGAAAATTAGAGCTGTGGTTTGGGAATTTTTTAACCTGCAAGTCACCCTTTTGTGTTAGTGCGTTATTACAATGTGTTGTGTAAATGCGGTAATTAAGAGCCAGTAGGTTGTTTCAGCGATAAACCCAGATCACGGGGGGTTTGTGACATAGCCAGTGAAAGTCTGTCTCTGTAAATCACAGCAGAATAGGGATTTAGCTGCTGAATTACCACATAAGCACATCAGCCTCCCTCCACAGCTGCCTGTCGCCTCAAACTTTCAAATTCTTCTGATTCCGCCCCCGCTTACCCTGCTTCACTCCCTTAATCTTGGGGAAAGGGCACCAGCTTAGCTTTCCTATGTAGCTGTACCTTCCTAGAGGGGGTCTGCTCTATGAAACAAGCTACCTGTGCCTGGCGGGACAAGACTTTGTAAGCCCTCCCCCCACCTCACCCTAAAATTGTCCCGGCTTTAGTTCTATCCAGGAATTTAGACTTCTAGTGTCCGTCTTTTCCAAGCTGACAATCAGCACGCTTTGTGTGCTTAGGGGAACACTGGAACAGAATGTTTCAATGGAACCACCCTGAACCGCTTGTCTGGAAAGAGAGTTGCACGACCAGTGCCTTACCTTGCAAGGCATATCGGGAAGTAAGGGATGACGATGGAAGAAATGCAGTTAAACTTTGATTAAGTAAAGAAATGGTTGAGTGATCATTATGATTTACAGAACCTCGTTAGAGAAATGCAGCTTTGTTATCTTCAAAACTATATAGGGACTAGAATAACCACTGTGACGCTAGGAAAGCATTTAGGGAACTTGTTTTCCTAAATTCAAAAAGTGGCTTGCAATTAAAATTAGTTGTGTTTCTTTTCATGTGGGTGCTTTCAAAGGACCTAAAAAGAGTTTGTTCTCTTAAGAAATTCAAACGCGTCCTTCCTTCCTATCACTAGCAATCATGTTTTTGATCTCCTGCATTTGCTTAGCAAGTCTCATATTCAAAGACAGTAAAAAGTTATACTTTAGAACAGCCTGCTTTCAAATGCCCTCAGCTTCCTATTTGGTGGCCCTTAGCTGAATGAGGTGATACTATGTTTCCCATATGTATAAATGAGATCCTCAGTTTTGTGTGTATTTCTTCTTCCGTGTATGTCTACAATCCTCCTCTCCTATGCCACCGTCTCTTAACCACTTCT